TGGGGTGGGTTCGGTCGGTCGGCCAGTGCGGAGTCATTGCTCCTTCCATTCCAAACTCGCTTGCACAGCGCTTGACGCTGCATCACTGCCTCGCTAACGTGGTCGCTGCGGATAGAGTCGATCGACCGCAAAGCGTTGTTGAATCGATTCGCTGCCCTTAGTCCCGTGGATGGCAAGCTCTCCGGGGCTGTGGTGCGTCCGGTACTCCAGGCGTCTCAGCTCGACAATGGCACACTCGCCAAGATTTGGAAGCTCGCCGACTGGACTCAAGGTGAAGCTGCTACGATATTGATGGATTGCTGGCTCACCACCTTGAACGAGCTGATAAAGCCAGAGCGACACGCTGACGCACTTTCCATATCGCTTGGACACCAGATGGATATTTGGATTCAGACGAGTTCATCGTTGCAATGTGGCTCGCCGAAATCAAGACCAAGGGCTGGGCAGAGATCCCCGATGCCCTTCCACCGACCCTGGTCCCGCATCGGCGCTTCTAGCACCAACCGACATGGGGTGCTTTGCTCGAAAGCTTGCCGATGTGAACAGTGCGCGTGTGTTCCCATGTATCGGGGTTGGGTATAGGTCAAGAGCAGCGATCGGAATGACATGGTCGAGTCGACAAAGAATTCTATTTGCGATTACTTCCGCGGGATACCTGGCAACCAGGACGACTCAGCAGCGATGGAGGGATCATAGATTGAGGAGTATGGTGGGATGTCTTGGAGGAGGGCAACGGGTGGGGTGAGAGTGAGTTCAGGAGAGACGGATGGATGGAAATGAATAGATGGGAGCCGGTGCAGGGGCAAAGATGGCGAAGTGGATGTAGATGTGCATGAGGACCAGCAAAGGGTTCCGGTAGCTGCGATGGATTGGGCGATCTTGTGCGCCGACTGACTACGGCACGCTTAGGCCCGGCACTTGTGGGTGTGGTTGCTGGGACCAGGGGGCCAGTTGAAGTTGTCGCTGGCGGCGTTCTTGAGGTAGTTCTCGCGGCACTTGAGCAGCAGGATGCTGGGATCGTGAAGGAATTTCATACCATGGTTAGTATTTTGTGGCATGTTGACTGCACAGCAATCTGACCAGGGCTATCGACCAGCTCTAGATCATCGCAGAGGGGGACCTTGTTGTCTTCCAAAAATGCAACTTACGTGTTGTACTCGTCGCGGAGCTGGTTGGCCTCGGCCTGGTTCTCGATGAACATGGCGTCAGTGCCCATGGCGTAGTGCTGGAAGAACTCGTCACGCTTGTTCTGGGGGCAGGGGACAGGCTTGTAGTGGAGCGAGTTCATGTCAAAGTCCTTGGGGATGGAGGACATGCAGCCTAGAGCGGGCATGGAGGAGAGTAAAGAGATGTGTTGGTAACTTGAGCGACAGAGATCGAGGTCGCGCCGACGGAATGCGAGCAGACTTACTGTAGGAGAGCGACTGGCGAGAGTCGTAGTAGGTGTAGGGGTAGTAGTAGAGGCCGCGCTGGTGGATAGCCGCAACGAGGCTCTGCGAGAGTGAAAAGCGGAATTAGCCCGATGGACAAGATTTGATGGAGCGGACGTCAAACTCAGCCAGGCAAGCATTGCATCTAATTCGGCTTGGGCTACTCACGGCGGGCTCAATGATATCGCGGGCTGAATAGGAGCAAGGGTAGATTGCGAGAGAGATGTTAGTTTGAGGCCATGAAAGAGCTGATGCTCGGATGGACGCTGCAGCTCATCTGTCTGTCCCGCTCGACACTCCCGATCGACACTCACGGTCGTAGCCGGGGTAGACGAGGGCGGTGCGGGACTCATCGTAGATGTTGATGTTGTAGGACTGGAGGATATACAGAGGCTCGCCGTCGTCTGCGCAAGAAGAAAAATTAAGACCAGATGTCAGCAATTCAAAATGTTGGTCGGCATCAATGGGCCCGAGGGATCAGCCCGCCACCAAGGCAACATGGAGCTGTCGGCAAGATCGCGATAGTGCAAGATTGAAACTGGGACTCACAGGTGGCATCCTTCCAGGGGCCAACGTAGATCCTGGTAAAGGAGAGACTCGATGGTCAGCCGGTGTGTTGTACGGATTGGTTTGAGATGTACCTCTGATTTGCACAGCACCACACTTACTGGTTGCCGGTTTCCTTGGCGACGGCGGCAACAGCATCCAGGCCCTTGTTGGTGAGAGCCCACCAGTTGGCATCGACGAGGAAGAGCAGGCCGCGGAACATGCTCTGGTTGGGGTAGGTGCGGGCGAGGTACTCGATGGTGGCCCACTCTGTGGACAGCCGATTGCGCTGTTAGGATCGAGTCTGGATCGAGTCTGGCTGAGTGGCGATCGTCAACAGCCAGCCGACAAAGATACTCACCGAAGCACTGGATGATGACAGGGTGGTTCTTGGTGGGGAGACCGAGCTTCTTCAGAGTGGCGATGGTGGACTCTTCGGCGCGGAACTCGTAGTTGCTGGGCCACTTGCCGCCAGGGACAGCATTGTCAAAGTAGTTGATGGCGGAGAGGTCGGTTTTGTTGAGGACCTGGGTGTCTGGCGGGGTGATATCGGCGAACACGTCAGTTGCGGTGTGCACCCGCAGAAGCCCCGGGCCGACCGCGATCAATGAGGGGGAGAGGTTGCAAGATGTGCATGTGACTTACTGTGGTAGAAGGACGACTTGATCTCGGGAATGAGTCCAGTCATGGTGTTGGTCAGGGCCGAGACGTTCATGACGGTCTGGTAGTACTCTTCGATGGTGAGCATGGGGAAGAGGTGGTTGTAGAACTTGGGGCGGTCTGCACAAAGGAATCAACATCAACATCAACATCTGCAATCCCATCCATAGTGCTGCCATCTGTCGGGGGCAACGGATCCAAAGTCGGGGTCGACAGTGGGCAGAGCGACTCACAGGTCATGGCGGCGTTCTGGATGATGAAGGCGTGATCCTTGATCTCCTTGGCGGTAAAGTCGCTGACCCAGTAGGAGGCGTTGATCTGCTGGTACTGATCCTCCTTGGTGACCCACTGCAAGCCAACGCAATGACAGGAAATGGCAGCTAGTGAGCAGGTGCCAACAGCGATCGCGGGACTGTCGACGGCGAGACGAGATGAAGCAGATACAAGGAACCACACTTACGCGGCTTCGGTCCTTGCCGGTGAAGAAAGGGTCCGAGATATCAAGGCCAGGGTTGAGGAAGAGGTCGTGGTTGGCCATGGCGACGCCGTCCTTGGAGAAGGTAATATCGGGCTCGGTGTACTGGCGGTAGCGAGTGATGGATCAGCATACAGCTTCGCGTCTGGCTGGCTGGGCAGTTATCCAGCGAGCATGGGCTGATGGAAGCCGATCGGGTCGGGCGATACTCACGTCGCAGTTCTGGAGGACAGACTCCCAGTAGGCGCCAGCACTTTCCTCGGGGAGGTGGAAGCGAGAACCACGATGGCAGACGTTCAGGGTGGGCTTGCCATCGAGGGTTTTCCAGCACTTGCTGGGGATGGGCCAGACCTGGCGGGGCAGTATGCAATGGCATCGTCCTATGAGAATCTCGGGTGGCAATAGCAGCAGAGCCGGGCCGAGCGAAACACATTGCAGACACGATGGAATCGACAGGACTGTACCTTGCCTTCGGCTCCAACCTGAGGGCCAGAGACAACCCAGGCAGAGACGCTGGTGGCAGCAACGAGGGCGGCAGCGGCGGCAGAGAGAATCAGCTTCATTTCGATGCAGATGGCGGCGGAAGAGCTGGGCGTGAAGAGACTTTTCCCCCCGAGCAGAATGCCACCTTTTATCTACTTGCAGTCTCGGAGGCGGCAAACAGGTACTCGACAGCACGCGCCGGCTGATCGAACCTTGGGTTTCAAGCAGGACTGCGTGCTGGTGGCCTGCCCGCCCTGTCCCGAACCTGTTCGCTGGCATGTGGAAGCAGCGCGCTCGCCCACCAGGCCCACCAGGCCCACCAAGTCGACCAAGCCCACTCGCAGAAGTGTTTGCGCTGTGGGCTGGCTGCGCTGGCCCACTCACCCCACCACCACAAAGATACTCGGCGAACGACCTTCTGTGATGGAGACGCCTCGGCTGGCATCGATTCGCACGCCCTCCTCTGTTTGTCTCGGCCGACCAGCCCATCCATCGCGTCGGCGCAATTGGACATACATCCCCATTCCAAACAAGGCAGACAAAGAAGCACGCAGATTGCATCTCGCATCCACGCGCCCTCGCAACAGCCGGTTTCTTTGTCGGTGTGACAACCAAAGGCGCGCGTGCTCCCGTGGAGGCTGTGCTTACAGTCTATCCAGAAAAAAACGGGACAGTTCCTTTCTGGCTTCAGATGCCCGCTGACTGACTTGTAGGCCCAGCGGGTAGGCCATGGCATTGCACTCCTGTCTTCGTTGGCAATCGCTTTGTTTTTGTTGGTTTGGGAAGCACAGTCTTGAATACACTCGGTCGATCTCCTGTGGCGATGATCGACTGGCATACCGAGATCATGTTCCTGGCTGCATTGATGTCTCGATCCCACAGCGTATGGCAGCTTGCACAGCTCCGGACAAAGTGTGGTTTCTCGATATCAAGATACTCGGGTGACTCGAGTCGTTTGGCTTCCCGACAATGTGAGCATACCTGGGATGTGTTGAACTCGTTCACCGAGCACACATGGATCTTGGAGACGGATGGGTCTGGTGGTCGTCTCTGGTGGTGGTGGAATTGCTCGAAATACTTGGCAAACCTGAGTCTCCTGGGACTGGATGCCTATCCCTTCCCTTGCTTCCAGGAGGCATTCCCAAAGGCAATCACCACTTCGGTCTCCTTGGACATACTTGCTTGGCCATGAATGCGATGAGTGGGTGGGTGTATTCAGGTTCCAGAAAAAACACTGTCATGGCCCAAAACGGGGTGTTCCCATTTCATTTTGGAAACGCTGTAGTCCACACCCCCACATTGCATCGACGAGGCCATGTATGGTCGTGTTTCAGACTCATGCTGGTGCTGCCCAGATCCACACGTCGTTTCCAGAGCATTTGCACTGGCAGGCTCGGCCCGCGGGCTCAGTGTGATGGCTGGTGGATCTCGTAGGGAACGTTGCTGTCCATCAGCACCTTCCATCGGCTCTGGTTCGCCAAGACAGAGTCGTACAGCGGCTGGACCTCCGGCACCAGTTTCGCCAGCAGCGCAAAGGCCGGGGCGACTATGGCACCATAAAACTCGAACTGCATCTTGGGAATCTTGCTCGTGTTGCTGCGGTCCATCAGCGGTGATGAGAACGGTAGCCCCAGGGCACGCTCTTTGTCGCCCTGTTCAAAGAACTCCGAGTATCTGCCGTGCGGAGAGGCAAGCACCATCGTCAGCCACACTGCAGTGCTCGAATCGGGTTGCTTGCCGGTGCAGAATCAATCGCGTGACAAACGACAGGCGGCGACGAGAAGGACGGTACCCACACTTGGTCTGCCGTGTGCTGGGAGCCCTCCCACCGCTTTGTCATTGACGATAGGTCTGAGCAGGTCATTATGAGCCCCCGGAGCTGTGAATCATGAGGCTGTCAGTATCTCCGCGATGGACAGGAATCTCAACCCTTGCCCGTTTCACACCAAATACGACCGCCACACCATCCACTTCCGCCGCAGTTGCACTACTGCTCGCGAGCCGATGCCCTCTGAACAAACTCACGAGCTCGCGGTGCTGAGAGTCGGCTTTGTTGTAGCAACCCTCGAGTGCCTCGGTCGGCTTTCGGTTCTTGAAGTACAGTGCCAAATCAGTCGCGAGGATGCCATGCTCAAAGGTCTTGAGACAGCGCTGATATTCGTTGGGGCTGAGCCGCTCAAAGATGTTGTGGTGCGGTGTGTTGAGAATCGTCATGGCGTGGTTGAAGTGATGACGCTCCATCGTCGAGGTCGAGTAAAAGTCGGCCAAGGCAGTATGCGCCGACTTCTGGAAGGCATTGTTGGTGCCGCGGTGGTCAATGTCGTGGTTGAAGGCCGCCAGCAACATCGAAAACTCTTCGATTTCCTCGAGGTACTTTCTGGAGATCCCTGTCTTGGCCAAGTAGTAGATCGCATGCGACACGGCAACGGCATGGGTAAAGTTGTGGTACGCATTGTCGCGGTAGTTGCGACGGATGGTCAGCGCATACGTCAGCAGCTTCTGGTCCGAGATTTCGTACTTTTGCGGGTATCCTAGGTCCTTGAACATCTGCAGCATGATGTAGACGAGGGCATCGTTGAGGTGGTAGTCGTGCGCATCAAAGAGCGGCGAGGCCAGATCATCGAACTGCATCTGCACTCCTTGGCGCTCCATCGACGCTTGAAAGGCGTGCACCTCCTCTGGCTTGGAAGTGACGTGGTAGGACATCAGCTCCATCGTGACGCTCAGCATGTTGCGGTGGTTCTTGAGGGAGCTCATGAGCAAACTCTTGTGGATCGCAAGGCCGCAAAACACCGAGAAGGCCATGAACACCTCTTCATCCTCCACCGTAAAGTAAGGCATTTCCAGCTTGTTGATGAGAGTGGTGACGCCGATGACTTTTTGGTTCTCGGGCCCGCAGATTGGCACGCAGAGCATGCTCTTTGTGCGATATCCCGTCTTGATGTCGATTGCGTTGTTGAATCGCGGGTCGTCATAGACATCCTTGATGTTCATGATCTTCCCGCTCGTGGCAACGTACCCGGAGATGCCGCGGTTGATGGGAACCGCAAATCGGGATTTTGTTTCTTGTGAATCGAACACGGCAGAATAGAGCTGGAGAGGATCATGGCGGCCGTGAGCCATGGGATCACACTAAAGCCGCGTGGCTGGCGCAGGTTCGCATCTGCTCCGACCAAATCGATGCGCTGCTGCTGCTGCTGGAGTGACTCTCATGCACCACCCCACGGGCTTGGTCTCATCGGCCACTCTCGATGCCAAAGTGAATACTAATGTCCGTGGCCCGTCCTTCTAGCTAGGTGCTTACCTCCTGCTTCTCCTCGTCGACTATGAACAGGCTTGCTTTGTCGGCCCCGACCAGATCGCGGCCATGCAAGATGATCTTGCCGGCGAGGGATTCGAGCTCGTCCTCGCCATAGAGGCTCTGGGCGAGCTCGAGCAGGACCTTGGCCTTCTTGGCCTCGGTCTGAGCGGTCTCATACAGCTTCTTGTTGGACTGGGCCATCTCACTGGCCTCCTTTTCTTTCTGCTCCATTCGCTGGTAAACCTGGGCATTGTTGACGGCAATGCCGACCAGAGCCAGAAAGTCCCGGAAGGCATCGCAGTCTTGGGTAGTAAAGCACTGCCACCGCTCGCCTGGCTTGAGCGGCACTGTGGGGTCTTCTTTGTTGATGAGCGAGGCCACACCCAGCAGCTCGGGCTTGCCAGAGGCGGGCGACCGGGCAGTGCCCCAGATGGGCATGCACAAGATAGTGTTGGTTTTGAAGCCGGTCATCCGGTCCGTTTCAGAGTTGAAGCGCGGACTGGTTGGAGCAGCGATAGTCGGGCCCAGAGGACAGTTGAGTCCCAGCAGCCAGTCCGATGCATCTTCCATTCCACCATTCCACCATTCCACCATTCCACCATTCCACCATTCCACCATTCCACCACTCCACCATTCCACCATTCCACCATTCCACCATTCTACAGGCCTGGTCAGGGTGTTGTCGGTCGACAGCTCGCCGCCTGCTTCCCCTTCTCTCCGCCTCGTTGTCTCTCACACCATCCTCGCGGACTCGACCACTTACTCGCTGTAGGCGTCTTCAATATTGAGTCCCCTTCCAGTCTCAGCGACAATGCCCGCAATGCCCTTGCCGACGGGGAAGCGGATCTCGGGGTTCTTGACGGTCATGTAGGTCGGAAAGGCCTCTTCGGTGCTCTCCGACCCATCCACGTCCGACCCAAGAAATACGCTCGAGCATGACTTGAGATAGATGGGCCTGACCGGGCTCGGAGCCAGGCTTGAGGCGGCAGTCGGGGTTCCGTTGATCGGGATATGCCGGTCAGAAAGACCCTTCTCAAGCGGTCTGCGACTCCCCTCGATGCTGCTGTTGGATTGGTGAGAGGGCAGCGAGCTGCGAGGCATTTCCGGGACCAAGATCTGCTCGCCCGCAGCCTCGGACAGCGCCATGCATGAGTTGGAAGGGTCATTGACCAGCCCCAGATCGAAGGCGGTCGAGTAAAGCTCGTTCCTCTCTTTATCCAGCAGAAACACGGAGCAGCGCTGGGCCTTGACGACGAGCAAGGCATACGAAAGCACCCGCTCGATGATGGTGGGCAGGTTCAGGGACGAGTACACCGTCCGAGCAATCTCAAAGAAGACGTCGGGCGAGTGCAGCGGCGAAGGCTTGACGTCGACCCCGTCGGCGGGGCCCAAGAGATTGAATGAAGATGCATGGCTGCGGATCTGCGACGGATTGATATCCTTTGGGCTGTTGACGCTGAGGCCAGACGAGCATCTGCCTACGAGCGGCGAGCTGGTGTATTGGGGCATTGAGCTTGGGGGACGGGCATCCTGGCGGCTTGCCTTTCACCATGGGTTTCCAACTCGCGGACGATGGCCGCCGCCGACTGGGGATTGGAATACAGCCAAGCCCGAACGTCGCTCTCGGTGATGTTGGGGATGGGCTTGGCCGGCGGCCGCTTGAGATCGGGAGACGAGCCTCTATCCATGACTGCAGAATGAGAGCCGGTTCTGAGCGCGGAGATGAGTCGGGAACGGCAAATCCAGACCGACAAGGCCAAGATCGAATGAACCGATGGGGGCAAATGTTCCAGTGGAGAAGGAAAGAGCGGCCGAAAGTGCCAGCATCCAAGAGCGGCCCTCGCCGGCCCGACAGAGGCAGCATTCAATCAGATACTGGCACCGACCCAGACGAGTCGAGCTCCTACAGCGTGCCGAGCGAAATGGTGTGTCCTATTGCTGTAAAGGACCGATTGTTACGTTGCCGTCAGGCTCCTACCATTGTGCGGCTGATTGGCCGGCGAGGCGCCGATTCGCTCGGCTCACTCCACTTCCTTGCGATGGAAACCTGTTGCCCAAGCCGCCCCACACAGCTTGGACATGGTAACGATGGGCGGCGCGTGAGTATTAAGGACGGGAAAAGAGCCACCCTGGTGCAAACGAGGTTTCTCGCTTCATTTTCGGAAAAGCTCATTGACTGAGCGCACTCGGATGGATCCATGCCAGGCCGCTCATGCTAGAATTACACTATTGGGCGATAGACAAGTGTGTATTCTGGCAAAGACAGCGGCGATCAGCGACCTCATATTCGGGGAGTGGTGTGCGTCCCGTTTCATTGTGAAGACGCATTAGTGCTCGCTCTTGACACGGGCCCCTCTTTGGCCGTGGCCCGAGGCAATATCTGTGTTGGTCAGCGGTTTGAATAGTTCTGATTGGTGAGATGCCGGTGAAGAAGTGGCCCATGTGGTCTGTGGTTGTCGCAAGGCAAGCCGGTACGGGTAATGAGTGAGGGGTTCGGGTACCAGTCGATGAGACAGAAGAATATAGAGGCCGTAAACATCGTGCAGAGGGAATGCCAGCAAGGTGAAGGTCGGATCGTGGCGCTGTTATGAGCCAGGAACTGGACATCTGGCTGCAGAGTCGTCCGTCTTGCAAGCCATTCCCGACGAGCCCCCGGCAGTTTGCAGCCTCACCTTTTCCTCCGTTGAACTCTCGCACAGTTCCAGGAAGGGGTCGCAATACCAGCCGGGCAGCAAGCGATGCGGCCATGGGCGGTTCTCCAAAGTCTGCTCCGTATGAAGTCTGATGGCGGCGTTGTCCCAGCGAATCTGCTGAAGATACGCAGCCGGGTTTGTTCGGGACGAGACTTTTGCACCGTGATCCGAGTGGCTGGAGCCTTGCCGCTCGCGCTGATGCCACCGTTGTTTGCGGCGACGCCTCCGTTGACAGCCTTGGCAGCCGTTTCAGGCCTCTTCGCCGCCACGGAGGCCGATGTTGGCTTGTCTTCGCTAACTGTTGAAGCCGCGGTCGATGGGCGAGAGTCCTGGACGACAGCGACGACTCTGTGGAAACACATGATGCTGCTGAACTCGGGCGGGACTGGTTGCCGAACTGGGCATCGCCCGAGGTTTTCTTGATACCCTCGAAGCCCTGGAAGGTCATTGGCCCGAACGCAGGGGGGCAGCTGAGTGAACGGATAGACGGGCGGGAGACCAATGACCGAGGCAGAAGTGTCGCGAGCGTGCTGTTGGTAGTATTGCTCCAGTTGTCGCTTCAGCGCTTGATTTCGCAGGAAGAGCTCGGCCGTGGGTGGGTCGATCAAGGGCTCGACAGCATCGGACGGGTTGTCGGCTTTGCCGGGACTCAGAGCCCGTGGATGGTGGTGTGCTGCTGCTGGTGCAGTTGCTGCATCTTCAGATGGTGGGCTTTGATGTCTTGGATCTGTTGCTGCTGCAACTGCTGGAGCTGCTGCTTCTGGAACTTTTGCTGGCGCTGGATGGTGCTCTGTGTGCTGGGTTTGGTTCTCGAGTTGTGGCGGCTTGGGTTTTCTCTGGATCTCGGATGCCACCAACTTGATTTGTGGAGATGACGGTTTGGTGGGGTCGATAGACGGCCGCACAAACGGCTTGGAGTGTGGGATCGTATGTGGCAGGGTATGGGGGCGTGGGAATCGCTCTGAAGGGCCCAACTCGTAACCCTTGCGTGAGCGCTCCTTGGCCGACTGAGGCAAGGGCTGACGGGATGCTTTCTCTCGGGCGACCCGAGCTCCTCGTCGCCTGTCGAATACGGCATGCCCGGGATGGAGTATCCGTGCCGCTTGCCCCGGCCGAGATTGACGCTCGTGTGTTCGTTTGGGTTGCCGCCGGGCCAGCGAGGAAGCATGGTGGGCTCATCGCGGTGGGTGGCGAGCTGCCCGGTTCCATGGCCCGGGAGTGCCTGGGCCGAGTTTGGAATGTACATGCCTTCTCGGTCACAACCCGGGCACAGAGCGTCTGGGGGCGGGCCAGCAGCGGCTGGGTTGAGAGAGCCTTGAAGTTCACTTCGGCATCGACCATCCGTCTGTTGACCTCGATCTGCTGCTGGACATACTCGGGGATGGCAGGGGCAAAGGCAGACTTGACGAGATTGGCGCCCTTGCGACCCGGGGCAGGCAGCTCTGCATCAGTCGGGCGGGGATATCCCATCCGCCAGGCTTGTTCGTGCGAGATGCCAGGAGGCAGGTTGGGTTGTCCAGGGATGTGCACAGGTCCGGTGGGTGTGCGCCCAGTCGGTATTATTGAGGTGGGTGTCGATGGTGTTGTGGCTCTCGGAAACGGGCTGGAGTGACGACCGAGGCAGCGGATCGGATGCCGGTACAACAAACGACGGCGCCGACATATCCTGGTCGCCCGTCTCGCAGGTGATGGTGGTGGTCGGCAGCGCCTCCACCCGAGTGGTAGCATTGAGTGGGAAGGTCTTGTGTGGATTTCGCAGACTACTCAGCTCCTGCTTCTGTCGGCTCGGCAGGGCGGGTGTGGGGCTGTGTGAGCATTTTGGACGAGAATGGTAACGGTGCGGGCTGCTGAACGGCGAGCTGGTCGGTGTAGCAAATGGAGCGATAGTGGTATGGAGGGCAAGGGCTTGCGGAGGCTCAATATGAGTGCTGAATACAGAGTCTTGATGGAGGGAAGGGACTGGCAGTGAGCAGCTGCTGAATGGCAACCAGTCCAATTCCTAGGGCGGGGGATCGCCGAGCGGGAGATATACCGATGCCGCCACTGAGACAGATGTGCTGGAAGCAGACAGGTGGGAGCGGCCAAGGACAAGCAGGTTGGGTGATGGCGGCCGCTGGAACACAAGGAGAGCTAGTAGTGGGAGCAATCGAATACCAAGACAGCCACGGCAAACTTGGAACAGCACTGGGCGAGCCTGGCGAAATCCAAGCCAAAGATTGTTGGTCGGGTTGGGAACGGAGCGCCTGCTGGCAGTGGGATTCTGCAGACACTCGAGGCGCTGATGCAGGACCAAGCAGGCTCACCCGAGAGAAAAGAGGTCACGGATGTCATCCTGGGCGGGCCGGCGCCGGTGGCCAAAGCGCACAAAGGTCCAGGGGTGATTGAGGGTGTGGGGAGGTGGTATCGTCGACGTTCCCGGATTGATTCGAGGCAACCACATATGAGCGATTTCTGTTCTGCGCACGGTGCTGTGATTGGCGCTGTTGAGGAAGTGCTTGCTGCAAGCCGCGGGGCACTTGCGACGACAGCAACTCTACCGCACGGGAACCCGAAGGGCGAGCAGACGGGGCGATGCGCCGTGCGAAGTCGAAGTCAAAGCCATATCGCATCAATGTCAGTGCAATGTTACTTGAACATCAGTGCAATGTTACTTTAACATCAGTGCAATGTTACTTTAACACCAGTGCAATATCGCATCAATACCACATCATCATCCAACGTGCGCCGGGTCTTCATGCCGGTGTCTCTCCGTCGCTTCGTTGTGTGCCTGGCCATGGTGCCGGCCATGCCCCGCCGATAGGAGGACGGTGCCCTTTCAGCGTCCGCCTGGTGCGCGCTGCCGCCTCGATGCTGATTGCTCGCCGCTTCCGGGCCGGCCTTGCCAATGAAACGTTTCCCGAAAGCGCTTGTGCGTCCTTGCCGGAACGAGCTCGCCAGCCCGGCCGTCCGCAACTCTCACGCCATCGAGCCCATAAAGCCTGCCCCAATCCTCCCGCCCGAGCGACAGTACTTCTCCAGTACTGGCATCCATCATCGACTCTCTGGCCCTGCGTCGCTGCCGAGCGAATTCCACCCGTCTGCCTCCCCCTGAGCCTTCCAAAGCATCCGCCCTGCCAGATGGATTCACTGCGACCACATCTCCTCCTTCCCCGCCCTCACCGGACCGCACCGCAACCCGCCAGCCCGGCCATCATTCGCTCCAGCAGCGCCGAGCCGACGCACTCCTCCAGTCCGGAACACCCATCCCTCCGCAAGTGCTCCTCAAGTACCCCTGCCGAACTGGAGGATTCAAGTCGGGTCATCTCCCTCGAGGAGTTGGCACAGCACAACACCCCCGAGTCCCTCTGGCTCGCATATCGGGGAACCGTTTACGACGCCACAGGTACTGGCGAATCGCTGGTGCTGCAAGGGATTCGGCCGAATCGCATTGCCCTGGCGCTGCTCCATCGGTGCGGCGAGTGGGAAGGGTGAATCTGTTGCCAGCGCTCGTATCTGTGCCATGAAACCAACGCCTCTGTCTATCTGGCTCCATTTGCTGCCCTGATTCGCCGGCGCACCTCCTCGGCTCCTCTGGTGTCCGTCACCCAACCACTTTGCTGATGCTCCGTCCTGCTCCATGGATTCATCCGCCCCTTGGCATTGCATGGCTTTGCTCGGCACTCCACATCCGACATGGCCATTCCACTCCTGGTCGAATTGCGGATCTTGCAGCCTATCTTGGCCGACACCCAGGTGGCAAGAAGATGCTGCTGCTCGGAGCCGGCAAGGATGCCACCGACCTGATAAACAGCCGCCATCCCTGGGTCAATGTCGACAAGGTTCTATCCCGCTACGGCCGCAAGGTCGGCGTTCTGAAGCGCCGGGGCTTTGGCGCCTTTCTGTCGATTGTGTAGATTTGCTGGCTGCTGTCCGCTCCAGGAATCGCACTCTCCAGTAACCAAACGACCCCCCATCACATATGCATCTGCACGTCTCCCATCTCCAGTTCATGCATCTGCCGGCAGCCCCGCTATCTGTTCCCACATGTTGTTTATCGTCGTCTTGTCCATGTCTGACCTTGTGGATCGAAGCTGAAGCTCCATCCGCCTGGCCCACTTCTCCCAGCCTTACACTCGTCCATCCATGTCCTGACCAGCACCATCCTTGTTTTACCGCATATATCCCAGCCCTCGCTCCCAATGCACTGTCTTGCGACCGGGTCGATGTCCAGACATCCGACGGGTCTCTGATGTATCAATAGAATCCTCACGCGAATACTTCGGTGACCGTGGATATCCAAGGGGAGGGAGCGCTGACCCCTAGAGCTCGAATGCCAATTCGAACTGCGATAGCCATCACCTGCCGGCGGCTGCTATGAGACATGAGCTGGTCTCCAGCGCACCCTGTATTGTTCTTGAGCACTCGTCGACTGCAAGGGGCGAGCGAGGAAGCAAACATACAGCATGCAAACTCCTGCACAGGGGTGTACGTGTCGATACATCGGCCAAGCCAAGAGGGCTAGTACGTTTGATGCCCATCGAACCGAGTATCAAGATGGTGCCCCGCTCATGTAGGCGCACATGGAGAAGAAATAAAAGGAGAGTTCTAGGCTCAATATGGGGACTCCGAGATGTAGATGCAAGAATCAAGGATTAGAATGAGTTGCAGTTTGAAAAAAAGCAGATTTGATGCTCGCGACATGGAAGGAAAGTGCTTGCAGAGTGTGTGAAGAGTCGGAGGTGGTTGAAATAGGACGACGGGGCAGATTACGTTGTGCACGGGCGGCAGCGGAAGTTGTGGGAAATCAGGGCGAAACTCACAACCGATTATCAAGCTGCCGTTCACCAAGAAGCCCCAGTGGACAAGCGATGGAAACGACGCCGATCGACAGGGACTTGCAGACCGACCAGATGCCGGCCAAACCGATTCTGGCTGCATCGGCCCTCCTTGGCGGCGATTTGGTCGCTGACTCTTTGGTGTCGGGGATGTCTCACTCGACCGCCAATGACTTCTTCCGCACCAGGCCGCGGCTTGACTGCCGCTGCACAGGTTCAGGACGTTTGCCCGAGCCGGTGTCTTTGGAGGATGCGT